GGAATGGGAATATGAATATAAGAATGGAGATGGGGAATGTGAGGGAATGGGAATGGAGATGGGAATGGAGATGGGAAAGGAGATGGGGAATGGGAATGAGGAATGTGTATGGGAATAGGAATAGGAAAGGGAACAGGAATGTGAACGTGAGGAGATGGAGAATGTGAGGGGATGGGAATGGAAATAAGGAATGGGAATGGGAATAAGAATAGGAATGGAAGTGGGAATGGGCCATGTGAGGGGATGGGAATGTGAGTTGGACAGGATCCATGGGGGGTTGGAGGTCTGTGGGGAGACGGGGCTGTGAAGGATTGGGGGATGTGCAGAGCCAGGATCCATAGGGAGCTGGGATCCATAGGGAGTGTGCATCTGTGAGGGGACAGGGCTGTGAGGAGCTGGGATCCCTAGGGAGTGTGGGATCCATGAGGGGACAGGAATGTGAGGAGCTGGGATCCATAGGGAGTGTGGGATCCCTAGGGAGTGTGGGATCCATGAGGGGACAGGGATCCATGAGGGGACAGGGATGTGAGGAGCTGGGATCCCTAGAGAGTGTGGGATCCATGAGGGGACAGGGCTGTGGTGCCGTGTGGCACCTGGAGGGTGGCACCGTGGTTTCCTGGGGCCATCCTGCTGGGAAGGAGGCAGAGGGGGAAAGGCCGAGCGGGAGGAAGGAGCAGAGGGCGGGGTCGGGGAAATGGGATCCCTGCACAGAGTTCCTGGGAGCTGCTCCCAGTGGCCAGGGCCACCGTGCTGGGTGCCCTGCATGGAGCAGGGCTCCCAAAGCATGCAGAGCCACAGCGCTGGGGTGACCCTGCCTGTTAATCACAGAATCCTGGAATGGTTTGGGTTGGGAAGAACCTTAAAGCTCATCCATGGGCAGGGACACCTTCTACCATCCCAGGCTGCTCCAGCCTGGCCTTGGACACTGCCAGGGATGCAGGGGCAGCCACAGCTGCTCTGGGCACCCTGTGCCAGGGCCTGCCCACCCTCCCAGCCAGGAATTCCTTCCCAAGATCCCATCCAGCCCTGCCCGCTCTCGGTTAAAAAGAGAAATCTTTTATTTTAACAAGAACTTTTGTTAAGTAAGAATTTTAATTCTCTGGCACCGAACACGATTTACATAGTTTGATGTAGGAAGGAGCGCTGTGCAGTCAAAAGCAGCAGAGTCACTATAGTAACAGTGTCAGATATGCAAACCTCCTTAATCAAAGCCCCCTCTCCTCATTATGATTTTGAGCTGTCATGGAGAGCACATTCAGCTGCTTTCTCCCCCCTCCCCGGGGCAGCACGGCTTCGAAACGTTCCTGAATAATGCCGCTATAAACAAAGGAGATTGCGAAAATAACCTGCGAGGTCGTGACTTCGTGCCAGGCTAAAAATAGCGCAAATTGGAGGCGTTTAAAAAGGCCTGGCTTTGCAGCCGAGTTGCAGGAGCCCCTTCTGCTGTGAGCCCGTGTGCCCTGAGCGGGGCGGAGGATGCTCCCCGGGATCACCTCAGGAGCAGCTGAGCCCGCGGCGGAGCACGCTGAGCAGCGCTTTGTGGTGGAAGCACGGCTACCCCGGGGGGCTGAGCCGCAATTAGTCACAGCACAGAAAAACCTGAGCCCCTGGGGCTGCAATCTGGCAGGGCTGGGGGCCCGCAGCCCCCCGGTTTTGGCTGCGGGCAGAGCTGTCGTTTGCAGACAGCGCCCGCTGCCTCCCCGGTGCTGGCTCTGCTCATTCCCGAATCCAGGCTACGAACCTGTGCCGGGTCACCGTGGAGGGGAGGCCTGCTCCGTGCTCTGTGTGCCACAGAGCGGGCAGCAGGGCCGCGGAATCACGGAATTATTCGGGTTGGAAAAACCCTCAGATCCTGAAGTCCAGCCCTGTCCCCAGCACAGCCCAGGCCACC